GCTGTACCAACCGCTCTGTACTTCCGACACAGGAATCACCCGAATAGCTCGCTTCCAAAGAAGGGAGGAAATCTCCTCTCTTAAAACAGATGCTAGGACACACCCACAGGGACATCTTGCATGCCCTCCACTGGGTGGAGCACGCAGCCAACCTCCCATACATTGTCATCTACACTCACTACTGCAAGTCGCTCTGGATAAGAGCGTCCATCAAATGACCAAAATGCTAAATACACATTGTCACCATTGACAGCCCAAAAACGTGGCCCTGTTTGTCATTCTCAGCGGTGCATGACATTGATGCTCCGCATATGAAAAAAAAAAGGGGTCCAGATATCATACCAGAGTCTCCTAGTCATAATCAAGAGTTGGACTAGCATTTACGTGCATTTTCCCAGCAGGAAGGTCGTATTCCACGAGTTCCCACTATGACATGAACACAGCAAGAAATGACTGCTACTTCCTGCTTTCGCTTGTCCTCGGAACGGGACTGCATGGACTCCATAGCTGAGCCAAACACTAGTTCGGGGAAATTGTCTCGCCCAAAACACATTCTCCCCGCTCCGGTAGGCTATTTGTGACCAAGTCCACCGGAACCAGCCATGTTCTATTCAGGAGCAAAGGACTGGGATTAGCCTCTCTGTTGGCCTCCGAGACCAGGCATGCAAGCTAGCCACGGCCCTATAAAACAGTTCCACATTCATGCATTTTGGCTGAATGTGAGTTATTCCAGGTCAAAAAACTGAAAAAGAGTCAAGCGACGCTTTACCGCAGTCATGACAGGTGGTAAAACTTTCCCCAACCTAGACACCAAGTTGCGAAGGAGAGGAGAACCATACCGCCGGCCGCAATATCTGTGGCAGAGGCACGAAAAAAAACATGAACCAGTCAGAGACACCACATCCTTTCCAGAATGTAGTTCCCAAACACCTTCAGGGAAGCAGAGAACCCATCCAGCTAGCCATTGCTTGGCTGGGATGCCCATCAGGGAATTGAACTCCAGTCCCTTGCATTACAGGCGGGAAACAACTCCGACCACAAACAGCCCCCCTCTCCCCATCTCCGGCAGCCCTGAGGCCACTGTAACACAGTTACAGGCAAACAGGACATCACTTGTGAGTATCTTTAATTTTCATTATTAAATCACATGCCCTAGGGCACGGTCTGAGTCTCAAAACCGGCTGTTTAGCCTTTTTGAACTTACTCTTACCACTGGCCATCTTACTCAAGCAGAGCAGAAGTGGTAGGGTTTTAGCAAACACAAATCCTACCCAAGCAAGGAAGCATTAGCTACACAAGCAGAGCAGAAAGTAGCTAGCTTTTAGGAAACACAAAGACTGATACCAAGACCCGAACTCGCAACTAGGGGTACGAGAATTCTCTCCCCACTAACAGACATCTAAATTGGAAATATTTGTAAATTGCGTGACATGTTCTCTTTCAGGCGAACTGAAGAGTGAAGAATTTAGGAAATGAATGCGAGCACTGGTGTTTTAGCCAGGAAGGCGGGGCTTCCGAGGGCGGCCTCTGCATTCATTGGCCCGTTGGGTGTGTTTTTAGTTTTCTTCAGGTGAATATGATTGGTAATTGACTCCCCATAGTATGTTATACAGAGTGACCGACTGAAAGGGAACTGTCCCTGTTCTTCTCTGCAGCAAACCAAGGGTTGTTGTCAAACTCCCTATAAAATGTTGGACTTCCAGAGTGAGCATAAATAGATACAATCATCACTGGAGCTTGTCCCACTGTCAGTTTGAACCCGTAGTAGTTTCCAACTTCACCTGACATGAGGCATTGCAAATGTACTGTATATCCTTGGGTGAATGTCTTCAGGATATCAGACTGAATGATCGTAGCAAGAGAACAGCCTTAAAAATAATAAAAAAAACAAAATGTAGCATACTTGAATATCTTTGTTTCTGTGACGAGGTGTGAATGAAGGAGTCAGGCGCAGAAGGTAAAATACCGAAGTCCAGAGTTTATTCAGTTTACATAAATAAAACGCACCCAGCGACAAAACGAAACATCACAAGGGAAATATTCCACCTTGGCAAATACAAATGGAACGAAAGCATGGCATCACGGCAGGCTAGCTCCCGTCGGACATCCTCCCTTAGGTGGCACCGGAAATGGTCGATCAGGGCCCGCTCGTTCCACCCGGAACCCCGCTGCCAGCGTCCGGAACTCCAGCGCGTAGTCCTGTGCGGTCCTCGTCCCCTGCCTCAAATGGACCAGTCGTTCGCCCGCCTCTCGACCCTCAGGCGTGTGATCGAAAACGGCCCGAAAGAGGCGAGCAAACTCCCCGTAGTCCTCCAACGCGGCACCTCCCTCGTTCCACACCGCGTTGGCCCACTCCAGGGCTCTCCCACAAAGGCAGGAAACGAAGACAGATACAGTGGGGAAAAAAAGTATTTAGTCAGCCACCAATTGTGCAATTTCTCCCACTTAAAAAGATGAGAGAGGCCTGTAATTTTCATCATATGTACACGTCAACTATGACAGACAAATTGAGATTTTTTTCCCCAGAAAATCACATTGTAGGATTTTTTATTAATTTATTTGCAAATTATGGTGGAAAATAAGTATTTGGTCACCTACAAACAAGCAAGATTTCTGGCTCTCACAGACCTGTAACTTCTTCTTTAAGAGGCTCCTCTGTCCTCCACTCGTTACCTGTATTTATGGCACCTGTTTGAACTTGTTATCAGTATAAACTCCTGTCCACAACCTCAAACAGTCACACTCCAAACTCCACTATGGCCAAGACCAAAGAGCTGTCAAAGGACACCAGAAACAAAATTGTAGACCTGCACCAGGCTGGGAAGACTGAATTTGCAATAGGTAAGCAGCTTGTTTTGAAGAAATCAACTGTGGGAGCAATTATTAGGAAATGGAAGACATACAAGACCACTGATAATCTCCCTCGATCTGGGGCTCCACGCAAGATCTCACCCCATGGGGTCAAAATGATCACAAGATCGGTGAGCAAAAATCCCAGAACCACACGGGGGGACCTAGTGAATGACCTGCAGAGAGCTGGGACCAAAGTAACAAAGCCTACCATCAGTAACACACTACGCCGCCAGGGACTCAAATCCTGCAGTGCCAGACGTGTCCCCCTGCTTAAGCCAGTACATGTCCAGGCCCGTCTGAAGTTTGCTAGAGTGCATTTGGATGATCCAGAAGAGGATTGGGAGAATGTCATATGGTCAGATGAAACCAAAATATAACTTTTTGGTAAAAACTCAACTCGTCGTGTTTGGAGGACAAAGAATGCTGAGTTGCATCCAAAGAACACCATACCTACTGTGAAGCATGGGGGTGGAAACATCATGTTTTGGGGCTGTTTTTCTGCAAAGGGACCAGGACGACTGATCCCGTGTAAAGGAAAGAATGAATGGGGCCATGTATCGTGAGATTTTGAGTGAAAACCTCCTTCCATCAGCAAGGGCATTGAAGATGAAACGTGGCTGGGTCTTTCAGCATGACAATGATCCCAAACACACTGCCCGGGCAACGAAGGAGTGGCTTCGTAAGAAGCATTTCAAGGTCCTGGAGTGGCCTAGCCAGTCTCCAGATCTCAACCCCATAGAAAATCTTTGGAGGGAGTTGAAAGTCTGTGTTGCCCAGCGACAGCCCCAAAACATCACTGCTCTAGAGGAGTTCTGCATGGAGGAATGGGCCAAAATACCAGCAACAGTGTGTGAAACCTTGTGAAGACTTACAGAAAACGTATGACCTGTGTCATTGCCAACAAAGGGTATATAACAAAGTATTGAGAAACTTTTGTTATTGACCAAATACTTATTTTCCACCATAATTTCGCAAATAAATTCATTAAAAATCCTACCATGTGATTTTCTGGAGAAAGAAAATCTCATTTTTTCTGTCATAGTTGACGTGTACCTATGATGAAAATTACAGGCCTCTCTCATCTTTTTAAGTGGGAGAACTTGCAAAATTGGTGGCTGACTAAATACTTTTTTCTCCCACTGTATTTCACTCACACCTTAGTTTTACTTTAGTTTTCACTTTCTCCAACAGTCTGTGTCTGAGTCAGTCCAGCCAGGAGACTCTGTGATTCTGAACTGTACATTCTGGGAAGGCTTTCCACTAGATGTTGGAACATTGCTGCAGGGACTTGCTTCCATTCAGCCACAAGACCATTAGTGAGGTCGGTGTTGGGCGATTAGGCCTGGCTCACAGTCGGCATTCCAATTCATCCCAAAGGTGTTCAATGGGATTGAGGTCAGGGCTCTGTGCAAGCCAGTCAAGTTCTTCCACACCGATCTGGACAAACCATTTCTGTAGGGACCTCGCTTTGTGCACGGGGGCATTGTCATGCTGAAACAGGAAAGGGCTTTCCCCAAACTGTTGCCACAAAGTTGGAAGCACAGAATCTAAACACAATACCCAATTCTGACAAAGCAAAAACAGGTTATTAGAAATGTAAAATCATTTACAAATAAAAAACTATTTAGTTAAAGGAAGTCTTTGCATAAGTAACCTATTTATTCAAGTCATCTCTACTCGGAAATGTTTTGTCCTCTTTCAGACGTCTTGATATCATGCCACTCACACCCACCTACCACACATAGAACCAGTTCCCAGGTACTTGCAGTCTGCTCTAAGCAACATGAGGCCGTATCTACCCTGCTACCTGCACTCTGTGTCTCCTTGTGGTTTTCAGCAGGACGTCTATTTGATGTAAGTCTGTTGTTCTTACAATCTTTACCTGTTGTTCATGTTGCCACTGACAGTTTGCAGCCATAAACTTACTTGAACCAGTTCACAGGTACGGCCAGAGTGAATGTGAGAACTACAAACCACAATTTCTTGCAAGACCATTCAGGAGTTATGGTACAATACAAGACCAATGGTTGTCTGAATGAGGCGTCAACAAAAATGACGCGTTCAGTTCGACCAATCACCAATAACCCCATTGTTGAAGTGTTGTACACATGGGTAGTCTTTTTCCACTCAAGATGATACTTTCAAAGATGTTCACACTGTGTATGATATTTCTCCTCCTTAAACAAATGGGTAAGTCACATTTAATTTGATTTTCTCTGCTTGTGTGATGTGTACCATAACAAAATACATTGGGTATTGATATTACAGTCCATTTCAAGCAATCCACATAGAATAATTGAATTTTTTATTATGTGATGGCTAATATATGTGAGTAGCTAAGAAATAAATGTTTTTTTGTGTGTGTTATAGATCATGTTCCAGCTGCAGCACAATCCTCAGCCATTCGTCTCACGTCAGCCAATGTTGGAGACACAGTGACTTTGCACTGTTTCCATGAAGGTGACATGGCAGTAATATTCTCCTGGTACAAGCAACCCTTTGGAAATATTCCTCGGCTCATGTCAACATATTTTTTTAAGTATGACAGTGACGCTGTATTTTACCATGAATTTATGGGTAACCCTCGCTTCTCAGTGGAAAGTGACAAAGGAAAAAATCACCTAAGGATCTCAGACATGGAACTCTCTGATTCAGCCACATACTACTGTGGGAGCACTTATGGAAACAAGATGGAGTTTGGAGAAGGAACCATTCTCATTGTAAAAGGTACAGAAATAATTCTTATTTTCAGATTGTTAAAAATCTTAGATTATACATGAAGAGTGTAGAAGAATAGCTAAAGGAAATTGAATTATTGTGACAATCAAATGTACATAAAAGGTTGATGTCTGCGCCCCTGCGGAAATCTAATTAGCATCATAAAAATACCCATACAAATCCTTCAGTTTAAGCTAGAGATATCTGCAGTGTTTGTCAGACCATGAGACATCCCGAAAATGATGGAAAGATGAGACTCTCAGGAACATGATGGTTGTTCTCCGTTTTGCTCTACAACCCCCACAAGCGTCTTGGGACTCGTCTGCAGTCGGTACAGCCGATTTTCCAACTTCTGTCTGTAGCGTCTGAACAGTTTGGGCTACACACTAATATGACCCCTCTGTAGAAAGGTGAGACTATCACAAAAACGTACGTGTCGGTTTGATTTGCTCTAGAATCATCTGAATGTCCCCTGATACCAGTTGAAAAAATATGGAGACTGTTTAGTGCCAAAATATGGGGTTAAATACAGGTACAAAACAAATAAAAACATTCCTGATCTTTCTTATATCTCTCAGATATAGGACAGACACTTCAGAACAAACTTCCTTTTAGACTATGTTTTGGGGGACTATCTGTTGTTCCATGCAGTGAATCTGTTATTCAATGTGTTTGTATGGCCTAATAGCAGTAATGCCAAATACAATTTTCCATCAAATAATTGTTCATATATTTTTTTTTATACTTCAAGGGGTCTTAAAATTCAAAATCAAATAGCAAAATGATCCTTGGTATGACCTTCTTAAAACAATTCCATATAGCTAATAGAACCCCCCCCCCCCACCCCGACCCCCCACCCTCCCAGTTGAGCTTTTTAGATTATTTAGTTAAAAAAATAATGGGTTAAATACATGTACAAAAAATAGACTCTTATGGGTTAAGTATTATCAAAATGAGATCCTATCATGGTTAAAACATTTTAGGTAGGGATGTTTTGGATATTCAAAATATTTACTGACATGATACTTATTTTCAGGTTCAGAGTCCAACAGCAAGACAGTTTGTACAGCAGTCTGTGTCTAAATCAGTCCAGCTAGGAGACTCTGTGACTCTGAACTGTACAATACACACTGAGACCTGTGTAGGAGAACACAGTGTCTATTGGTTCAGACATGGCTCAGGAGAATCCCATCCAGGAATCATTTACACCCATGGAGACAGGGGTGATCAGTGTGAGAACAGCTCTGATGCTGGGTCTCCTACACAGAGCTGTGTCTACAACCTCCCCAAGAGGAACCTCAGCCTCTCTGATGCTGGGACTTACTACTGTGCTGTGGCCTCATGTGGGGAGATACTGTTTGGGAACGGGACCAAGCTTGACATTGACCGTAAGTAATACTTCTGACATTCTGTTTTGTTATAATCAATGTTCTTTACATTGCAGGCAAGGTATCATTTAGTTCTGTTTTCTATATCATTCGGATATCTTTGTTTTTCTCTTCATTCAGATATCTTTGTTTTCTATATCATTCAGATACTTTTTTTCTATATCCTTCAGATATCTTTGTATCTTGAGAGAAGAAAGTATGACTCTCAGATCAGGTAGAGTCTTGTTGGTGTCTTAAACATTGTCAAGGCTTTATCCCTCAGTGTCTCAGTGTCTCTGTCCCTATTTGATATTTCACAGATGGTTGTAAGGAGGACCATCTTCTGTTCACATACTTCCTGGTTGTAGCGTTGGGTCTGTGTGTCATCCTCATCATTGTCCTTACATGTGTTTTGTACAAGATGAGTAAGTGCACAGGTAAGCAATATTATTGTCCAAGATACAGTATGCTTATTAATTGTTGGTAGAATTACATTATTTTACATGTTTTGGTCAAAAGTTGTCATAAAGGCTCTTCATTGTATGATGATGATGATTATATTGATTCTTATGTTTGATTAAAAGGAACGCACCCTCAGCCAAGTGCTCCTGCTGTCCCCAGTCATGATAACCAGGTAACCTGACCTAACACTTGTTTAGCTTTGCTGAATCAATGTATTTTGTCCTTTGATAAAAATATTAAATAGTTTTGTTTCACCAATACCGCAATGTTTATCTAGATACCAAATATTGGACTTAGATTTTTTCTATTGCTCTCAGGTCAAGATGTTGACACACTCATTATGCCGCTCTGAACGTCGTCCACCAGAAACTGAAGGCCGGAGACAGGGGAACGCCATGGAGAGAGATACTGTGTACTCTGGTGGTGAGGACCGCCAAACATGGAATGAAACGTCAACTTTTCCCTTTAATAAACTGTGACGACACCTGCGGGCTTGGGAGGTTCGGTGTGGATGGCCTGCCTAGGGAGACAAACAGACATTTCCCGGGGCCGCCTCACTGGGGATTCCGTTCCATGTGATGTAGGCGCCGCGCACTCACCCAGAGCTCTCTGGTTCACATTTCTGTTATACCTGGCGTTTTCCACAGTACACCTCATTGCCCAGCATAAGGCGCTGGTAGAATCAGGCGCGCTGGTAACTTTTGTGATAATATTTTTTGTTTAGCCTTAGGTATTCCCCTTCTCCCTGTGGATGCCCCTTTCCCTGTTCCGATGCCCTAGATACCGTGTCCGTGGGTGCGGGCTTGATCAGGAGGTCACTACCGTGCGCCACTTGGGATGTTGCTGCTTGGGTCGATCAGGAGGAGATTATTCAGTGTATTTCTAATGGCGACTCTCCTGCGTATCCGGGTGGTGCTGGTCATGCCTTTTGAAGTACCCCACTAGGCCCCTCTATTTTCGTGGCGGAGAGAGGCTCTGATGTTAGTGGGGTCCTTCCCAGTGTGTGGGTCGATTTGGGGCTGTTTCTCCTGATGGCTGTGACCTCTGTGAGAGTCCCAAGACCAGGTTCCCTGCATTGGCACTCCTCCTGAGTGATGGGGAATTTGGCTATTGCATTTTAGTAACGTCGAGGGCGACGCTGTTTGCCCCCATAGGTGGCAGGGAGATTGGTTTCGAGTAGCCCTCCAGGCAGGAGCTGCGCGTCCACGGAGCCATGTGTAAGCCTCTGTCTCAGGAGGAGAAGAAGCTATGGAGACTTACGATAGACGAATCTCTAACAAGGGATGACAACGCCTTCCACTTTCCCCCTTGGGGGGGTGGGGGGCCCCCTCCTCGAGTTGCGTTTTTTTGTGAAGAAAACGGATTGTGTTTCCGCCCCATCATCGATTAATCGTGTCTCATCAGATTAGGCGGTGAAGTACAGTTTATATCCACTCCCGGGCGTTATTGGTGGGGCCCATGACTGAGTCATATGCATGGTGCGGTCTTGTTGCTTCAGCACTAGAAGGTTAGATCTCAGGGAGCGGCGGTACAACTTGGTACGCATCAGGAGGCGATGAATGGAAGGACAGCCTTTAGTACCGGGGGGGCACGAGCGACCCCGAGGTCGGGCCATTCGAGTTATCACTGGTCATGCCATACGGGTTGTATGACGGGCTGGGGGCGTCATTGTCCAATCCGTTCGTGGGATGAGATCGTCAGGGACATGCGGGTCAGGGGTGGGTTGTGTGCGGTAATGACGATTGGCTCGTGTGTACTCGCCTAACCCGTGTCGAGCATGTGGCCCTGGTGCGCGAGAGGTTTGCGGAGGCTGGTGAGCACGACCTGTGATGGTTTTTAAGGCAAGGAGGAATTGTCTGTTTTTCCAGAGTCGGCCGTCGCTTTTTGGGTAATCATTGTCTGCGTCAACCATGGTGAAGATGAGGTAACCGGGTGTACCGGCCTTTCTTAATTGGCAACTCCAGACCACGTGTGAAGGAGGGCAGGCAAGTTTTTTGGGGTTTGCGAATTACTACCGGAGTTTTCCGGGGTTTGTACGAGTTGCATGCTCTCAGTCACGTCTCGGTTTGAATGGGGTCCGGTGCGTCTTCAGTGGTCGGGCCCGAGTACGGTAACAGGCTGTTTGGGGAGGCTGAAGGACCTGTTTACCTCGGGCCCCGGGTTTTCTGGGCGCATCGGGATCCCTCTTTCGGTTCCAGGGTAGAGGTGGGGGACGCGTCATATGGCCGGTCTAGGAGTCCGGTGCTTCACACACGTCTTTGCGCGCCACCTAAACTCCGCCCCGGTGCTTTTTTTTGCTAAGAACTCATGTCCCGGCGAGCGTAACTGATGGGGAAACGTAGGGGATCAGGAGAGCTGTGTAGCCGTGGTACAGTTCCCTACGGTGTGGAGGCACGTGCTTGAGGGGGCTCAACACGCTTTCCAGTGGGTCCTTTTCCTCATTTTGAGCGGACCACCGAACCTGATACCTCCGGGCGCGAGGATGCTGAACCCTCGCCAGCAGATGGAATATGTTCTTTGACTAGGTTACATTTAAATCACTTTCAGCCCCGGGGTCACAGAACGGTAAGGCAGATGCGCTGTCTCGGCGGTATGACACGGAGGAGAGTCTCGTGGAGCCCACTCCCTACTGCCGGATCGTTCTGGTGCACCGTTAAGTGTGGGAGGGCGAATGCTGAAACTCGAGCGGGCGTGCGCACCGGACCCTAGTCACCGCATGCCCTGAGGTCGGAATTACGTTCGCTCGAGGTTCGGGATCGATTGTCTAGTGGGCTCACACGTCACCTCCTCTGGACATCCTGGTATTCGGCCGTACATCACTGTCTAGTGTCCAATTACTGTGGCCCACGTGGCGAAGGATGTGAGGGCTTTATGTTTTCCTCCTTCTCGGTGTGCGCCCGTGTAAGGCGCCTAACATCTGCCTAGGGGTAAGTTACTACCCCTGCCCTTCCACAACGACCATGGTCTCACCTCCGGTGGATTCCTTACTGACCTCCTCCTTCACGGGGACCCACTATACGGGTCGTTGTGGACCGGTTTTTCTAAGGCCTGTCCGTTGCTCCCCATGCCCGGGCCTTCCTACTGTCCTGCAAACCGCCGAAGCACTATTCCACCATGTGCTCCGGGCACTAACGGGTACCCGAGTTATTGTGTCTGATCGGGGTCCCCAATTTTACTCCAGGGTCTTGGAGCCTTTATGGAGCGTTGGGGGTCTCGGTGAGCCTCACCTCGGGTTACCGGACCCGATAGTAATGGGCAAGGTGAACGCGTGAACCAGGGATTTGGGTAGGTTTTTTCTTAGAACATACTGCCGGACCGCCGTAGGAGTGGGCAGGTATTCCCTTGGCCGAGATGGCCCAGAATTCCCTACGCCATTTTTCCTCCACTAACCTAACCCCTTTTTCAATTGTGCCTAGGTTTACCAGCCTTTTCTGGCACCGGGCAGGAGCGAGGGGTCGTCGCAGATCGAGGGCTCCCGGTGGATGAGTGGGCTGCGGCGCTCGAGAGACAGGGAACTCTTCACACGTCCATCCTGCACTTGCCCTCTGACGTCAGAAGGGCTAAGCCGCCGATCTCCACCGCAGGTGAGGGACCGGTGTACGCACCTGGTGATTCGAGTCTGGCTCTCTACCAGAAACCTGCCCCTCCGCCTGCCCTGTCGGAAAACTGGGTCGGCGGTTTGTAGGCCATTTAAAGTCCTGAGAAGGTTGAACGAGGTGGTGTTACAAATTACAACTACCCGTTGAATATAAAAGTATTAACCCCTCGTTCCATGTGTCTCTTCTCAGGCCGGTGGTAGCTGGCCCACTCCAGGAAAGTGAGATCAGGGAGACTCCTCCGCCCCCCATTGGACATCGAGGGGCACCGGCGTACTCCGTGAAGTCCATCTTGGATTCGAGACGTCGGATGGGGGGTCCTCCAGTATCTAGTGGAGTGGGAGGGGTACGGTCCGGAGGAACGGTGCTGGGTGCCGAGGAGAGACGTTTTTGGACCCGTCTCTCCTGACGGAATTCCATCGTGGGCACCCGACGCGCCCTGCTCCGCGTCCTCCTGGTCGTCCCCGAGGCCGGAGTCGGCGCACGTCTGGAGCCGCGCGTCAAGGGGGGGGTACTGTCACGGTTTCGGCCGAGGCTGCCTCTCTTCCTTGCTCGGGCAGGCTTCGGCGTTTCTTCGTCTCCGGAATACTAGCTGCCACCGTTGTATGTTTCTGTCTTCGTTTGCTTTTGTCTGATTGTTGTACACCTGTTTCTCGTTTAGTGTATTAGTGTCCTATAAGTTCTCGTTGTGTTTTGCCTAGTGTTGTGTGTTATTGTTCCAGGTCTTGGTTGTTGCCAGACGTATTGTGCTTTTGCTCGGTTGAGCTGTTCCTCCATAGTTTGGAGTGTTTTCGTCGCACCTGTTTGTGCGCGCGTATTTTGTTTCGCCTGCGTGCGGAGTTTCGGCCTTCGGGCTATTTAGTGTTTGTACTGTGAGTATTTTTCACTAAAGTCTTTGGAATATACTTCTGCGTCCTGCGCCTGATTCCACCACCACACCCACCTACTACATCCTTGACATCTGACTGCCCCTAAATAGATTTTCCACTCACGTAAACAGGGTGTTCCGTTTGCTTCCATTTAAGAAACATTTTTCAAAAGAACCGGCGGAAAGAATACCACACCTGATCACACGTAAACACACAGCCATGTTGTATTCCTTCTCGCATTCAAGCTCTCTCCCCTCCTCTCACCTCTTCCCTTCGCTTGTGGACTTCAATGCACAACACATCAGTTGTATGTGACCAGGCGAAACCTTTCCAAGCCAAACCGCTACACACAGCCTACATCGTTGTCACCATATTAGCTAAAGTAACGTCATAGTCAGTATAGCTAATAGAAGTACGCGTTAGTAAACACACTACAATCATGCAGTAATGTTTACAATGTAAGCAGTTACCAACTGGCGGGCCCTGGTGGCAATGCATTTGTAAAACCAAAAAGCTTACCTTGACTTGGAAGAGTTCCAGTGTTGTGTTGGATAGTCATAGCCAGCTAGCTAATATAGCATCCCTCTGTTTGAGCAGGGTGTTTCCATAGGCTAAAACTAGCTAGCTGCATTTGCTAGCTAAGTAAGTAAAACTGAAAAAAAAAATGACAATCTCTCTATATATATATTTCTCTCTTGCTTCTCCTTCATTTTGGAAGAAATGAATTTGTTCAAAACTGTTCAACTATTGTCTTTCTCTCTCTCTTTGAGTCAACTACTCCACCACATGTTATGCACTGCACTGCTAGCTAGCTGTAGCTTATGCTTTCAGTACTAATTAGATTAATTCTCTGATCCTTGATTGGGTGAACAACATTTCAGTTCATGCTGCAAGAGCTCTGATAGGTTGGTGGACGTCCTCCGGAAGTTGTCATAATTACTGTGTAAGTCTATGGAT